GTTTTTTGGTGGAACGGCACATATAATGATCGAAGATTCGCCCGATTTTGGGAATGTAGTTCGGTGTTTCAGATGTTGCATTTCTAGACCTTCCTTCTCTGGCTCAGTTTCTGCCCCCCCCAGTGCCCTCTTTGGGGCAGCTGCTTCCCCCTCCAGTGCCACCACAGGCCCCAGCCTCTTTGGGACAATTTCTTCCCCTCCGCAATCTTCTACATGCCCCAACCTCTTTAGAACAGCTTCCTCCCTCCCGCAATCTTCCACGGGCCCAGGCCTCTTTGGGGCAGCTTCTTCTCCCGTAACACATCTCTCCTCTGGACCAACACCTCTCTCCAAGCTGTCTTCTGCTCCTACATTGACTGCTTCCTCTCAAATTTCTAAATGGTATTCAACCTACTTGACTGAAGCAAGGCGGAGCACAGGTTCTCGGCCTTCTGTGATAACATTTCGTCAGGATGTATTCACTATTCTGATAAAGGAGTTGAGCGAGTGCTCCGAGTGCCGACAGCGTGTAGACAAGATTTCTGCCTTTTGCTCAGCGTTAGAAAGGGCATTGGATAAAGCCATTGGGGAGGTAAGTATGACAGTCATTGCATTGACGTCTACATGCACTGCAGCTGATCTGCACTGTATATTAGGTAAATCCAGATGTATTGTTCGACGAGAGTCGAAGTAGCTCGATCGATATTCTGAGATCCCCCCCAGCGTTGGCATTTTCATTTGGCTGTGCGCCACAGAAGTCTTAAATTAGGTATCCAACTTAGTAGGTCCTACACACATGTATGTCGTCAGATACATAAAACGCTCCCGATGTCATGCATATGCTTCAGTCTACACACAGCATGTAAGGACTGACATTTATTCAGGGCCCGGTCCGAGTCGGTCCTTAGGAATTAATTAAAACTGTCCTGCGTGTCAGAATCCTTTCACTTATATAGCCAGATTATTTGCGCTTTGCATCCTGGATTGTGATGGCCGCAAAAATATCTACTTTGTTCCCAGAGGTAGTGGCATAGAATGGGCCTATAATTTCAAGGAAGAAAAGTACCAGACACAAACATCACGGAGGCAGAGTTTATGTACCACTACTCATCTCCAACAATGCCTCTATACTCTTCCCGAGATCTCCCGCGTTCGCCTCCAAGACCCATTCAACAACTTCCGTATCGGTGGGGGGGGA